CCTGGGTGGAGGACGAGCTCCGATGCTCAGGCTGCAAGGAGGCACGTTGCAGCCCCAGCTGCAAACCCTGCGGTTCCCCTCAAGGGTTTCTACCTACCAGTGCCACAGGGAGGGAGGGCAGGATCCGATCCCTTTTGTATATAAAGTAGAGAGAGAAATGCGAGTTCAAAGCTTACAGCAACCAGTTTATCCCTCGCTCACAGAGAAATGCGAATCTCCACTCAGCTACTTGACACGTCTTTCAGAGGAGAACAGAGCTTTGATGGGGCAAAAATGACTGCTAAGAAACACTAAAAATGTTAGAAAACTTCAGGCACCTCCAGTGCATTAGGGAGAAATTAGAGTTTTACAAGGCCTTGAATAAAACCAAACTTTGCTTTCCGATACAGTGGCAGAAATCTGATTATCAAGGCTGTTAAAAGTATACAAGGTAATTTTAATGAATGCCATATTTACTGCCTGTTGCTTAACATCATGCAGGAGGAAAAATGAGTAAAACTTCCCCCTTAGGCCTTGGATGTCACACCTACAGGCACAGGACTTCCTACCTGCCACGGTTTCACATCGCCCAGCCTTTCCATGGGCCTCCAAGGCTCTGCCTAGACCACTGCTTAAGTTGTGCTCAACCAGATCTTGAAAATATACCATCTAATAAAGCAATGTGTCCTTCCAAAGAGTGGTTCCTGGTTATGTTGTCAGTGGCAGCCCTCAAAAGCTATTTTTGATGGTAATCCCGTGACCAGAACCAGATCCATGGCCAAACTGATGGTGTTCCTCCCTGTCCTGGGATGGGTACATCTCTTGGTGATGAGGACACCTGTGTTTCCATCACAGATTAGGCTGAGGATCAAAAGAGGTTTGGAGCTGTAGGAAAGGAGGTGATGGGGGACTGCCATAGCAGTTCATGCAGTTCTCTGTCCCATGGGAGAGGGGAAAAGGGCAGCAGGCTGCAACCCTGAGGAGTTATTCAGGCAGGCTGGTGTAATGTGGCTGAACTGGTCGTGTCAGTGTCTAGACTGATTTCTTTGCACAACTGAAATGTTAGCATGCATGCTGCAGACACGTGCAAATGAGTGCCCATGGCTGTCAAACTTCAGGTATTCATCTTTTATTCTCCAAATGGGGATCAGTGGTGCATTTGCAGTGTCGTACAACTAATTAATGATGTGTCACACATATTTGGGCAGTATTCAACAGCAATAGCTGAAAAGCAAAGCAAAAAAAGATTATCTGGCATCACTCATGCAACTTTTGAAGCAGTGATCTCTCTGGTGCGTAAGTCTCATGTTCATATCAAGAATAAATAAAAAACAAGCTCACAAGGCCATGCAATTGACTTACCTTATTGCACCAACTCAGTCATAAAAAGAGCAGGATTCTCCGTATTTTATTAAAATATCTGTCTGCTCAGACTTCACCAGAAGACAGTGAAAGTTGGTGGCCTAGCAGATTAATATTCTTAATTAAATAATATTGTAGTGGGAACCATGGGAATACACGAACATGGTCATTTTAGAGAGAGTTTTGCCTGAGGGACATAGTCTTATTGCATGATTCATAGTGAACGCACTCAGTCTGTGTCCTATGCATAACCAAAGTGCATGTGGGATGGGGAGCATGAGTGTCTATTATGTAATTAATGTATATGATTCATGTAAATACACATCGCAGCCATTTTACATAAAGCTTTGGGACTGATCCAGCAAGTCCTCAGCACACGCAAGGTTCAGAGCAGGGAGTACAGGTCGGGTTGTTCCTGCAGTCGCAAGAGGGCTGCTCTGCAGCAGGTGAAGGAGGTATGGGTATAGATGTCCCCAGGGTAGACACCCATATCTGAGACAGTCACCCAGAGCTCCCTTTTGAGTCACTGGGGACAAACTGGCATTTGCAGGACTTGACCAGTCTGCAGATGAGCTGTACTGGTCCCTGGCAGTGCCTTGGAAGAGCCTGTTTGTCTCCACAGGCTCTAAAGCGAGCCTAGGTGAGTAGTTCAGGTACAGGCATGTCTGATCTGATAGTCTGCCTTTGGTGAGGTGATTTAAGAGACGATTTAACTGTCCCATAAACATATCCATATCACAGCCCTGTTACACGTCAGTCCTGGTTTAACCCTGCCATGGTCTGCCTCACCCTGACCTCTGCTTGCTCTGCAATTGCAGGGTTTGAGCTTGAATTTGATTTTGTTGAGAGTACTGAGAAGGGAGGTGGAGAGACTTCTTCCCCTACGCTGTTTCTGGACCTCCTCACCCTTCTGCCTAAATGCTAGTCTCTTGCTTTTTGTTTCACCTTTGAGAGAGACTTGCAGGGTCAAGGTCTTAAGATGTTGGAAGACCTGCCCTGCAAGTGTAACATGAACACGTTCAGTGCTGGCTGTGGAAGAGCCTGTCTTACAGAACTGGGTTTGACAAATGCCCATAGGACAAAGGAGAAAATTAAAACTGAATCTAAATAGCAGAACAAATCACCAAACCTACCTTTTCCAGCCCCGGGCTCGCACTCTTTGCAGGCAGTTGTCAGTTGGGGATGCTGGCCTCGTGCCACCATGCCCAGACTCTTCCGTCCCATGCGCTGGAGTCCCCGCAGCGTGCAAGGTGGGTTCTGCTGTCTTTATATTTACTGTGTCATTGAATAGGGACATGCTGGGATAGATGAGAGACACACTGAGAGAGATGAGGGACACACTGGGCTCAGCCTCTAAACAGAAGAAGTTTGCAGCCCCATCCCTCTGAACTAAAATGGCCAGAAAGGATTATCTTTACCAATAAATTACACAGTGGTAGGGCCTGGGCTGTTAAACACCGGTATTGTTAAATTGTCAGCGAGGTTGGTTTTGAGTGGGGCTGGCCAGCACGCTCCAGAGCAGGTCCCGGCCGTGGTTTGGAAATGAGCAGTGTCCCAAACCCATTCCCATGGGCAGCTCGGAGACAGCCACCCTGTTGTGGAGACTAAAAGGATTTAATATCACAGCTGTGGCCAGACCATCCCAGCTGGGTTTAGAGCCAGAGAATGGGCCCTGATCCTGGGCTGTTTGCTAGTTCAAGTGTAGCCAAACTTTCCCATTAATTCGTCTCGCTC